ACACTTTGTTGATATGACCTGCTACGTCACAATCGGGATAGGCAACCGACGATACGGATTCGGCGTTTTTGGCGGAAAATATCTGATTTGAATTTGAATTAGCTTGAAAATTATTATGGAGCTTTCGCCATAACTACTTTCCATATATCAGCATTAAAAAAAAAGTGAAAACACCCTATTGTTTGAACAATTATATCCTAGATTGGTGATTTACATCGCTTTAATAGGAGATTGCCGATAGAAACGCAGTAGAATGTTGCGAGGTTTAATGCGATTTTATTCACAGAACTTTTTTGCGAAGCAGCCCCAAATCCGACGCCGAAGGAAAGATGAGATCCCCAACAGTTCTCTTCGGCAAGCAGCTGTTCAGCCCGCGCAGCAAAAAGGCGAAAAGCTCCAGCGCTCTGAATGTCCGCAGGTCTGTGTTTGGCCAGTTTTATCATCTGCTTTTTGAAGTGCTCAACAGAGATTTTTAAGTTCCTCCATCGAATAGAGCATTTTTTTTAAGGTTCAGCAGTGATGGTGTTTTCAACTCGCAAACGCTGGTGACTGAAAGAAGCGCAAGCATTGGAAGGAGGCTGAGCAAAGACGCCTCTGCGTTCTTGAGCAGCTCGCCCCCCGACATCAACAGTCGAAGATCCAGCTATTTGGACATTATCAGCACCGGCAGCAAACTATCAGGTGAAACGGAGTTTCAGAAAATATTCAGAGTGTTTCTGCCTCAACAATAGAGAACTTATCTACAATTCAGAGTGTTTTTTGTGCAAACCATTCAATTCCAAGTCGGAGTTCGATAACAGAATTTACCCCTGCAAAAGTTTCCATAAGTGATCCATAACACAAAAAGCTGAGGGAAATTCAATTAGACTTTTCCCCATTGGGGCTGTTGTTGTCTGGCAGGGCACTTGATCTATGGACTCACCTTTAACATTTGATTTTCCTTTTAGGAAAAAGCCCGATACTTTCAATCGAGAACATTTCGGACTGTGGCTCGACCAGATCGGCCGAACCGATGCGGAAACTTTCAGACTGCGAAAGTATCGGCAAAAAACTGGCCACTTTGCCAAAGTATCAGGGATCGTTCGATAAAACCAAACTGCAGCCGCAATACAGTCTGAATATGGGCAGAAGCGACGAAACGTTGACGAGCATGGAAAAATCGCCAGTAGCGGCAGCGAATAGTTTCGACAAATTGGATCAGAAGAGCAACTTTTCAGACGACGAAATTGCTCGAAGAAATCGGGATACGATTAGTCAGTTGCAGGTAGGAGCGGTTTTTTTGGGAAAAAAGCTGGGCAATTTTTCGGGACGACCTGAAAGTCCGAAAAACATTTTGTCTAAATTCAGTTCCAGCTGAAGAAAACGGCGAAAAAACAGAGAAGCGTAGACGGATCGAGATCAGTGCTGAGCCCAAATCCGCAAATTCGCATTCAAGTCGAGGACACTGATCGTATCGAACGTCCAAAACCCAAGAGAAATCCTCCTTTGAAAGCCAGCAGGAATAAACTCAGGTAACTAATTTAGCGAGTTTTCTCCAAGTTTACTGATTGGATTGTGCCAGGCACCGAAGCTTGGGCGATCCGACCCAAAGCCCCTCCTGCCAGCTTGAGCAGACGAGGAAGAGCAGATTGCACGAACCTTCTAGATCGCTAGACAGCGGCACGTCATCCTCCTCCCATTCTAGGCCCAGATCTAGATCTAGATCCAGACATCTGGAAGAGGACGACCTGCCGCCAGCGCCCCCTCCTCCGAAATGTTCACCTCGGAACTCCGTTGGTATGTAATAGTCTAACCGTGTTAGCGCAGTTTTAGCTCAATGATTGGTTTTGTGGTGAAAAGTGTAATTTTTCAGATTTTAGCGCTCGGGACGTTAAAGAGCCGACATAATGGTAAAACAGTAGACCCTGCTCTATAGCCCCTTTTAGTGTTTTACCCTCCATAACTGTTCAGCTGTTTCTTCACCAATTGCTTGCTTTGCATATACAGATATACAGGGTGACCCTATGCAGTCGACTGACTCAACTTAGCAGAGGTTGAGTCTTTGAAAATTGAACATGTGCAGGGCATTTACCTAAATATCTAGCAAATAGTTTGCGGTTAAAAACCGGAGAATGCCTTGGGACACCCTGTATGCTGGAAGCGTTTTTTCAGACACAGTCAAAAGATGTTTCCTTTGAGAGTTGATTTAACAAAAATCGCTTTTAGCGCTGTATCTGAAACATTTAAGACCCGCTCTGTCCTCTGTAAATTGGCTGCCATCCCCCCCAAAAAACTGCTCGTTTTTTTGGCATCGCTGGATAGGAAATTGAAAATTCGATTCAGTCATCACAAGTTGAGTGAGGAAATTCGAGTGGTTTTGACCCAGAAAGAGAAATTTCAACATCAGACACTTAGGTGCCAGATTGTGCCAAAATTTCATGTTTTCCCTCCCGTTTTGCCTCATTTCTCGGAAGCAACATGTGCAAGAATGCTCATTTTTCCATCATTTCAGAGAGAAATAAATGAGCTTTTCACAAAGTGAAACACCGATAAGGAAATATTGCCCGTTTTCTGAAAAAACCCTTGATTTCAAGAAATTTTAGATCTTTTAGTGGCAACATCGACTTAAACAGGACGCTGCTTTTTTCGAAGTTTCTCAGCCCCCATTTGAGCCACAAAAGTTGTTTCGGCATCGTTGGATGGAGAATTGAAAACTCGATTCAGTTATGGCAAGTTGGTTGCGGAAATTCGAGTAGTTTTCACCCAGAAAGCGAAATTTGAATATCAGACACTTAGGTGCAAAGATT